TGTACAGTTTTGTTCAAGTGCTTGTAATTCCTTATTCATTGCTTCTTGCCAGCGAGTGTCCTAATGGCTGTTTATAAGATTTCGGCTCATCATCTGGGTGATGGCCTTAAGAAAACAGTATGTGAAGTATTGAACTTGGAATATGAGAGGAAAGGTTAAAGGATAAGACGTACCTGAGAAGTATGATTGGAAGAGGTGGGAGAGAACCATTATTTCCAGGCAAATCAACATGGAAGTCACGAAAGTGAGATGGTAATTTCCTTGTTCGAGGAGAGAGTTGTTGTGGCTGCACGGTTGGCAGGTATAAGTGATATAATGATGAGCTGTCAATGTTTGTAGAAGGATTCGTTCGGGGTTTCTATAGAGGGGGTGTGATGGGTGGCAGAGATATTCAAGGGATGCTGGTTCAGAATCAAGAACAATAAGGGACGGTATGGTTAAAGAGCATCATGTTCTGGAGAGGATAAAATGATTTGTGAAAAGGGAAAATATGCTCATAGAAGGTCAAATCCCTAAAGTGAAGATTTATGAGTCTAGTTTGTATACCTTATACGCCTTTTGGCCATGAGGGTATCCAATAATATGCAGCAGTGGCACATTCATGGAACTTATCCTTTGATCGAGAAGACAAGCAGCAAGGCATCCAAAACACAAGATGAGAAATATTGGGCTTTTTAAAAATAAGGTTCATAAGGATTTCGGCCAGATAAAGAGGCGTGGGCATGTATTTATTAAGTATTTTGCTGTTAAAATACACTCACCCCAGAATTTAACAGGCAAATTAGCTTGAAACCGCAAGGCTCTAGCAACCTCAAGTATGTGTCTATGCTTACGTTCCACTACTCCATTTTGTTGAGGGGTGGAACAAGAACTAGTTAAAATCCCATTTTGTCGACAAAAAGTGTGGAAATTATGATTCGTAATTTGGTGCCATTATCACTACAAATTTGTTTAACCACCTTTCCAAATTGTCTAGTTACCATAGCCATGAAGGAAATCAGTCTAATAAAAACTTCAGATTTGGTTCTAAGCAAATAAACCCAAGTGACTCTTGTAAATCCCACAATGCTTAAGAAATAATGGGCACCAGACAAGAAGCAGTATGATATGGACCCCAACATCACAATGAATTAATTCAAAAGATTCATGAGTTTTAATTGAACTAACTGGAAAAGGGGTTCGAGATTGTTTGCTCATGACAAGAGTCACAACACTTATTAAAAGACTTAATGAAAACTGACCTAAATCTGTAATAAGAGATAATCTATCAAAGGGTAATGCCCAAGACGTTGATGCCACAAATTTAGCTTAATCATGATGGATGCTGGTTGCTGCAATAGGAATTTTGATTGCCCGAAAATAAAGAGTCCATCTCGCAATTCACCCATTCCAATAGCTTCCTCGTGGCTAAGTCCTGTAAAGCACAGAAGGAAGGGAAAAATGAGCAGCACAGTGTAAGGCTTTGGTTAATTTGCTGATATATAAAAGATTACATGTAATGAAGGTATTAAAGAACATTATTCAAGATAACAATGGACTAAGAGAAACATTTCCATAGATTTTGCTGGAATGATGACCCATCTGGAATGGTAATTGGTGAAAAATTGGGTACAGCTTTGGGAGAAGCAATGACACTCGCATGACATGTCATATGATCAGAAGCACCTGAATCCAAAATCCATTCAATTGTACATTGGACAGAGGAGTAGCCTTACCCCAAAATTGCCGTAGAACTATGAGTCCTTTCAAGATTAACGCATGAGATGAGTTGAGAATATTGTTCTGTAGTCAGCCCATTAATTGGTACAGTGTTCCTTCAACAGGTTCCATATGCTGTGAGCTATTTGCTGCTTTGGGCTTGGATGATTTCTTTCCTTTGTCCCACCATTTAGGATATCCGTTCAGCTCAAAACAAGTCTCTTTGGTGTGTCTTGTCTTTTTGCAATGTTCATAAAATAATTTGGATAAGTCCGATTGTTTGCAGACCTGCGATTATTGAACATTTTGTTCCCGTTGCTAGAAAAAAATGCTGCTGCCTCAACAGAAGGTAATCGTGATGCTGTCACCAACTTTTGTCGCTCCTCTTGTGCTACAAGTCCATAACACAGAGACAAAGAGGGTAGTGGTTCAGTGTTCAAAATTTGAGAATGTACCGTATTGTATTTTTCATTCAGGCCCATTAGAAACTGATGCACTTTTCTTTCTCCCTTTCTGCAGCAAAAGCCTATGCAGATCCACAAGTACACGTTGGAATTTGCGAGATGTGTTCAACTCATCCCAAATTCCCTTTAATTTTGTGTAATATGCTGAAACAGACATGCCTTGTTGCAGGTATTCCCCATCTCAGTCTTCAACTGATATATCGAGGAGCATTGCCTTGAGAATCTTTCTTCAAGGTCCTTCCACATCTCTGGTGCCGTAATAAAGTATGCGACACTATTATGTAGGGTAGGATGAAGAGAATTAAAAATCCAAGAAATTACCATAGAATTGCATTTAATCCATGCAGGTTCTTCTTGTAACCGGTGATGGGCGTTTGACAGATCCATCTACAAAGCCAAATTATTTTTGGCCTGGAGTGCATTTGTCATGGCACGACACCATGTGGGTAATTTGTCTTCTTTGAGAGGCATGTTACTAAAGTTATGCCTGGATTGTCAGAGGCATGAAGAGCATGGGTTGAGACACCAAATTGGTTTGAGTCATGTTTGATAGGCTAGTTTTGGTGTAGTAGAATTCAAAGGGCTTTCTTCAGTCAATGAAGAAGTGAAGAAATATTCTAGGATTTCAACCGCTCTGATACCATGACAAAAAGTAGAGAGGTCTGCTGTAATTCTCTCTTGAATTATCATTAATACAAATGCGTTTATAACAAAAGAGGTCCTTAAATCAAGGATACAAAGAGGAATAAATATTTGTAGAGTAAATTAAGGCTAGGATAAAGATACAAATATTTGACCACTAAAATAGGAAGCAAATATACAGCGGGATCTTTGTCCAATAATAATGGATGATTTTTTTTGCTCTTGATAACAACATGACCAAGCTAGTAAAAATACTTGAAAGATTTCATAGTTGAGGAGTATTTGTTGCTTGGGACTTTGTTAAATTTGATGTTTAGAATGATTTTTTTGCTTAGTTCTTAGACTTTACTTTAATTTATTTAGGGGATATGTAATACATATTTTTTGTATTTTAAGTTTAAAGTTGATTTTGTTGATATTCTAGATGTTATTTGTAGTTCTTAAGCTTTTTGTCTTGGTGTAGCAACCTAACTGCAATTAGGGTGGGTATTTTTTACCGACTGATCCGGCCCCAAAAAATGGGGTTATATTATGTCTAATCGGGTTTATTTGGGTCATATTTAGTGAACCTCATTATTCAAGCGGTTTCAGGTTAAAGGGGTTCATTTAAAAGGTGAAATTTACCTGGGCATTATTCAAGGCGGGTTTCGGGTTAAAAGGTTGAAACTTGACCCGAGTATTTTAAAATTGTGGACTTTTAAAATGTGGAACATTTTTTTTTTGGTATCCGGAGGTGTTCAGGTCAGCTTATGCGTACTTCAATTAGTCTTCAGAGGTCTTGAAATTAACTATCAGATAAGCTTTCAGTGGTTATCCTTTATTAGTAGTCGTGAGGATTTGAACTCAAGTACTCTTGAGTAATACACTTAAGAGTCTCAAGCGAATCACCAAACTACTAAAGGTAGTTAATGTGGAACATTCTTATTTCCTCTAATGTGAATGTACCATTTACTCTACCACACCTGATTACTATTACAAAAGCCTCTATTCTCACTTTTTCTTATTTGTAACCCTAGATCTACTTTTGCATCTCACATTTTCCCTCTTTTTTAGCTGGTCAACCTCTTCCTCTGCTCCATTATTAATATACTTGTATTATCTTTTAGAAGGCCCTTCTTGCTCATGTTATTTAGTTTTGTTTGGAATATGATATGATAAATGTAAGATTAACTTATGCATGTTGGGGAATGAATTTGTTTCGCATTGAAGAAATGGTTTTCACTGATTATGTAACTTTTTAATTTCTTAAATTTTAATTCTGCTTCTTATTGTTTTGTTGATGGGTAATTTTGTCTAGTTTTTACAATTTTTTATTAGTATTAATAAATTTAAGTTATATTCCAGTAAAACTTAATATTATAAACTAATAAGGCATATATTAAAAGAAAAAAAAGGTCCAACCCGAATTTTATGGACTTAGGCTGTTTTAAACTTGAGCACTGAATGCCCAACCCGAATGACTCGTTTAACCCGACCTGACATGGTCGGGTTGCTATCGAGTTTACATATATTTCGGGTTAACTTTGGGTCTGACCCAAAATGATGTCCCGATTGTGCCCACACCTAGCCGCAATCTGGCATGGCCATGGTGGCTACCTGGCTGGTTATTATTATTTTTTATTTTTTCTAATAATGAAGTTTATATTTTGATTTGTGGATTTGAAAGATTAAAGTGGGTTTAGGGTCAAATAATAGGTGTTTTTCAGTTTTCTTAATGTTAAAATAAGTTAGATTTGTTTTAGGTTATAAATGTGGGTGACATAAATACCCTTTTACCGTTGAGTTTTATTGCATAATTTAAGAAACGGGTGGAATGTTGATGATTTATCGAATTAAGGATATGAGATTGTCGTTGCATCAAACCAAGGGTGGGACAATGTAATTCAAGTAACTCGTTATTTATTCCTCCTAGAAGTTAGAAAGGAGAGGGATTGGCAAAATAAACTCAAATCCCTATGGATTTAGCCACTAAAACAATAAAACAATGGCTTAATGTTAATCAAAATTTTTTTTTTTTGATTGATCTGTATCCAAATCCAATGCTGTCTCTGAACTTGTATTAATTAATTAACCCTCACCATACAAATTTACATAAAAACTGCCTTCTGGGCTTGTGTCAAACACAAACAAAACCTTCCATGCCATTTTTCTTGCATCTTGATACAGAGCATATACATGAAACTCATTACAAAATCTTCAATCAAATATCTCCTGGGCTTCAATTATACTATGCTGACTGAAAAAAAATTGAGATAAAGTTAGTCTGAATCAGAAAATGACATAAACCATAAATCAAATGGATGAAGTACAAGTTGAAGCAGGAACGCCAGAAAACAGATGCATAAAAAACTAGCTTACTGATCATCTTTAGCAACCCGATAATATTTTTCTGCATGCTGGCGTTGACCAATTAGTTGAGCGAAACGCTCATCGTGAGTAATTACTATAAGTTGAAAGTTCTCCTGGCCTTTTCTGTCCTCCACAATTCTGAAGAAATTGGGGTGTGAATGTGACGGCTGAAATAACTTGTGAAATAGAGGAAAAGATATAACTGATTCATACCTAAGGAGAGCTGCTGCAAGACTTTCAGCATTTTGACCATCCAAGTTTGTGGTTGGTTCATCCAAGGCTAGTATTCCGCAATTCAGGCAAAAAGTCTCAGCTAATGCTAATCGTATGATAAGGGAAGCAAGGACCTGAAACCAAGATTAATAATGGCATGAAAAACTGATTAATTGAGTTAAATTTCTCTCAGACTAGGTCCATTTGATAATTACCCACCTTTTGACCAGCACTACATCTTCCTCTCATTTCTAGCTCTGCATCACCAGTCTGCATGAGAACCTGCACAAAATGCAGTGGAAATGATAGTAATATATATGTACTTACAGTAACAACAAACAGGAAGAAGGAAAAAAATTGTTTCCATACCCTGTAGCTATACGAACGAGTCCCAGCACCTTCAGAATCTGAATGAATGCTAATGTAGTCTATGTCTTGCCCTCTGTACGTTTGCTGCCACAGTTCTCTAATAATTTTATTTATTTCCTCCATTTTCATTGTGTGGAAGCGCATGAGTGCTCTACAGCATTTAGATCAAAATATCAAAAAAAATAAAAAAAAATAAAAAAAATCCAGCATAAGGTCAGCAACAAATATGTGAGAGCTGAAGCAAAAGATTTTGGAGCCTTTTTTTGATCAGATGAGCTGAGAACCAAACTAACAACCGGGACATCCTAACTTGTAGATCTTTTAGACATATACAGAAGCTCCATGGATACAAAAAAACAGAAAAAAAAAAAAGGAAGAGAGAGAGAGAGTTATATTGTCAAACAAACAATGGCATAATAGAAGGCAAATGCAAAAATACACCCACATTTTCTTTATCACTAAAATGAGTAAATCGAGCAAAAACTTGAACCCTACATAAATTAAGAGAGGTGACATCAAGTACAAAGACTATCAAAAATATTTTTAATAGCTTACTTGTCCAGTGCAATGTAGTATCTGTCCAGGTCCTTGTTTGCCATCTCTGTTGTCTGCCACAAATTTTGAAGTTATATAACAGAATGGAAGAGTGATGATAATGATGACTGTTCAAGCAATTGGAACTATCTCCCACCTTAAGTTGGATTAGCTGATCAAAGTATCGCTTATCAATGTCTTTGTATTGTGCCTGCTTAAGATCAATTTTATTCTTTGAAATATTGCTCTGATAAACAGCCATCGTTCCGTGGCTCCTGTTTAACTGTTGAAAAACCGAAATCCACAATTTAGTTCTCTTTAAAGAAGAATGTTTACCAAAAACAAAGGTTTGACATTGGAATAACATCACAAGGGATAAGAAGTGGAATATGTAAGACATAAAAAATGCATTAGTGAAGGTGATTCAAAAAGAAAAAATAACATCTCCCCTCTGGTCTAACNAGAGAGAGAGAGAGTTATATTGTCAAACAAACAATGGCATAATAGAAGGCAAATGCAAAAATACACCCACATTTTCTTTATCACTAAAATGAGTAAATCGAGCAAAAACTTGAACCCTACATAAATTAAGAGAGGTGACATCAAGTACAAAGACTATCAAAAATATTTTTAATAGCTTACTTGTCCAGTGCATTGTAGTATCTGTCCAGGTCCTTGTTTGCCATCTCTGTTGTCTGCCACAAATTTTGAAGTTATATAACAGAATGGAACAGTGAGGATAATGATGACTGTTCAAGCAATTGGAACTATCTCCCACCTTAAGTTGGATTAGCTGATCAAAGTATCGCTTATCAATGTCTTTGTATTGTGCCTGCTTAAGATCAATTTTATTCTTTGAAATATTGCTCTGATAAACAGCCATCGTTCCGTGGCTCCTGTTTAACTGTTGAAAAACCGAAATCCACAATTTAGTTCTCTTTAAAGAAGAATGTTTACCAAAAACAAAGGTTTGACATTGGAATAACATCACAAGGGATAAGAAGTGGAATATGTAAGACATAAAAAATGCATTAGTGAAGGTGATTCAAAAAGAAAAAATAACATCTCCCCTCTGGTCTAACAAGCATCAAGGCCACATAAATCTTTTGATCTTCCAACAGCAAATTATGTTTTAAGTCTTTTCTAGCCATTTGACTTCATCAAATTTTATTAACAGAGTTTGAAACAATATTTATTACCTATAATACCATGCAAAAGCTAAAATCTCAGAAAGTGCTCATTATATTTTATATAATAAATTCTCCATCCTAACACTTCTCATTTTGAAATCAATTTGTAAAAATTTATTATTATTATTGTTCTGACATGAAACCAATTTGTTATTTTCACTTCTATCCCACAGGAATAGTCAGAAACAATGTGGTCATTGCTATAAACAAACATTATTGACGATATGAGTTCAACAAATTGGAAGGCATAGAAGTCAACAAGGATCACAAATACCTCCGAAAGAAGTCTTTCCCTTTCTTGAGAGATCTTCACCAGTTCAGATTCAACAGCCGAAATACCTCCAATCTTCAATATTTTCTCTTCCAGTGATTCAATCTCAGAAGCAAGTTCATCAACTTCAGCTTTTGTCTTCCTGTAATTCAAATTGTCCTCAATATTTCGTCTTAGCTGATCTTGATTCCGCATCAAGTCTTTGCATTTGTTCAACTCAGCCAAAATCTCCTGCTTCCTAGTATCACAATTTCGAAGTTGAGATTCCGATAAAGATTTCTTTTCTTGCAGTTCCTTTAACTTATCACCTTTCTTCAAATCATAATACCTGATGGATTAATATTGAAAATTAATATATATGGCATTCAAGAACAACATGTATAAATCCTTAAGTTTGCAACATACTCTTTAATCTTAGAAGTAGTCTTAAGCAGTGTCTCAATTTCCTGTTGGTAGTTTCTCTTTTGCTCAGCCTGCTCCTCATACTCCCGATTAAGTTTGACTTTCAAATCGTTGTAGTCAGTCAAAAATTTCTCTTTCTCCCTGGATAGAGGACCAAGCGCCTCCAATAAATGCTGAAAAATCAACATATGCATCTTGCATTACAAATATAATAACAAAATTTTCCGAATCTGAATGAATGCTAAGTAGTCTATGTCTTGCCCTCGTAGTTTGCTGCCACAGTTCTTAATAATTTTATTATTTTCTCCATTTTCATTGTGTGGAAGCGCATGAGTGCTCTACAGCATTTAGATCAAAAATCAAAAAAAAAAAAAAAAAAAAAATCCAGCATAAGGTCAGCAACAAATTGTGAGAGCTGAAGCAAAAGATTTTGAGCCTTTTTTTGATCAGATGAACTGGAACCAAACTAACAACCGGGACATCCTAACTTGTAGATCTTTTAGACATATACAGAAGCTCCGGAACAAAAAAAAAAAAAAAAAAAAAAAAAAAAAAAAAAAACAAAAGAAACGGAGAGCCTAACTGCAATTAGGGGTGGGTATTTTTTACCTGATCTGATCCGGCCCCAAAAAATGGGGTTATATTATGTCTAATCGGGTTTATTTGGGTCATATTTAGTGAACCTCATTATTCAAGGCGGGTTTCGGGTTAAAAGGTTGAAACTTGACCCGAGTATTTTAAAATTGTGGACTTTTAAAATGTGGAACATTTTTTTTTTGGTATCCGGAGGTGTTCAGGTCAGCTTATGCGTACTTCAATTAGTCTTCAGAGGTCTTGAAATTAACTATCAGATAAGCTTTCAGTGGTTATCCTTTATTAGTAGTCGTGAGGATTTGAACTCAAGTACTCTTGAGTAATACACTTAAGAGTCTCAAGCGAATCACCAAACTACTAAAGGTAGTTAATGTGGAACATTCTTATTTCCTCTAATGTGAATGTACCATTTACTCTACCACACCTGATTACTATTACAAAAGCCTCTATTCTCACTTTTTCTTATTTGTAACCCTAGATCTACTTTTGCATCTCACATTTTCCCTCTTTTTTAGCTGGTCAACCTCTTCCTCTGCTCCATTATTAATATACTTGTATTATCTTTTAGAAGGCCCTTCTTGCTCATGTTATTTAGTTTTGTTTGGAATATGAAATGATAAATGTAAGATTAACTTATGCATGTTGGGAAATGAATTTGTTTCGCATTGAAGAAATGGTTTTCACTGATTATGTAACTTTTTAATTTCTTAAATTTTAATTCTGCTTCTTATTGTTTTGTTGATGGGTAATTTTGTCTAGTTTTTACAATTTTTTATTAGTATTAATAAATTTAAGTTATATTCCAGTAAAACTTAATATTATAAACTTATAAGGCATATATTAAAAGAAAAAAAGGGTCCAACCCGAATTTTATGGACTTAGGCTGTTTTAAACTTGAGCACTGAATGCCCAACCCGAATGAGTTGTTTAACCCGACCTGACATGGTCGGGTTGCTATCGAGTTTACATATATTTCGGGTCCACTTTGGGTCTGATTTTCCAGACCCAAAATGATGTCCCGACCCAAACCCGATTGTGCCCACTCCTAGCCGCAATCTGGCATGGCCATGGTGGCTACCTGGCTGGTTATTATTATTTTTTATTTTTTGTAATTATGAAGTTTATATTTTGATTTGTGAATTTGAGAGATTAAAGTGGGTTTAGGGTCAAATAATAGGTGTTTTTCAGTTTTCTTAATGTTAAAATAAGTTAGATTTGTTTTAGGTTATAAATGTGGGTGACATAAATACCCTTTTACCGTTGAGTTTTACTGTATAATTTAAGAAATGGGTGGAATGTTGATGATTTATCGAATTAAGGGTATGAGATGTCGTTGCATGAAACCAAGGGTGGGACAATGTAATTCAGCCTTTCTTTTTATAAGTAACTCGTTATTTATTACTCTTAGAAGCTAGAAAGGGGAGGGATTGGCAAAATAAACTCAAATCCCTATGGATTTAGCCACTAAAAGAATAAAACAATGGCTTAATGTTAATCAATTTTTTTTTTTGATTGATTTGTATCCAATACTGTCTCTGAACTTGTATTAATTAATTAACCCTCACTATACAAGTTTACATATAAACTGCCTTCTGGGCTTGTGTCAAACACAAACAAAACCTTCCATGCCATTTTCCTTGCATCTTGATACAGAGCATATACATGAAACTCATCTTCAATCAAATATCTCCTGGGCTTCAATTATACTATGCTGACTGAAAAAAAATTGAGATAAAGTTAGTCTGAATCAGAAAAATGACATAAAGATATATCAAAGTACCATAAATCAAATGGATTAAGTAAAAGTTGTAGCAGGAACGCCAGAAAACAGATGCATAAAAAACTAGCTTACTGATCATCTTTAGCGACCCGATAATATTTTTCTGCATGCTGGCGTTGACCAATTAGTTGAGCAAAACGCTCATCGTGAGTAATTACTATAAGTTGAAAGTTCTCCTGGCCTTTTCTGTCCTCCACAATTCTGAAGAAAGTGGGGTGTAAATGTGACGGCTGAAATAACTTGTGAAATAGAGGAAAAGATATAACCGATTCATACCTAAGGAGAGCTGCTGCAAGACTTTCAGCATTTTGACCATCCAAGTTTGTGGTTGGTTCATCCAAGGCTAGTATTCCGCAATTGAGGCAAAAAGTCTCAGCTAATGCTAATCGTATGATAAGGGAAGCAAGGACCTGAAACCAAGATTAATAATGGCATGAAAACTGATTAATTGAGTTAAATTTCTCTCAGACTAGGTGCATTTGATAATTACCCACCTTTTGACCAGCACTACATCTTCCTCTCATTTCTAGCTCTGCATCACCAGTCTGCATGAGAACCTGCACAAAATGCAGTGGAAATGATAGTAATATATATGTACTTACAGTAACAACAAACAGGAAGAAGGAAAAAAATTGTTTCCATACCCTGTAGCTATACGAACGAGTCCCAGCACCTTCAGAATCTGAATGAATGCTAATGTAGTCTATGTCTTGCCCTCTGTACGTTTGCTGCCACAGTTCTCTAATAATTTTATTTATTTCTTCCATTTTCATTGTGTGGAAGCGCATGAGTGCTCTACAGCATTTAGATCAAAAGATCAAAAAAAAAAAAAAAAAAAATCCAGCAAGGTCAGCAACAAATATGTGAGAGCTGAAGCAAAAGATTTTGAGCCTTTTTTTGATCAGATGAACTGAGAACCAAACTAACAACGGGACATCCTAACTTGTAGATCTTTTAGACATATACAGAAGCTCACGGATACAAAAAAAAAAAAAAAGAAAGAGAGAGAGAGAGAGTTATATTGTCAAACAAACAATGATAATAGAAGGCAAATGCAAAAATACACCACATTTTCTTATCACTAAAATGGTAAATCGAGCAAAAACTGAACCCTACATAAATTAAGAGAGGTGACATCAAGTACAAAGACTATCAAAAATATTTTTAATACGTACTTGTCCAGTGCAGTGTATCTGTCCAGGTCCTTGTTTGCCATCTCTGTTGTCTGCCACAAATTTGAAGTTATATAACAGAATGAAAGTGAGGATAATGAGATTGTCAAGCAATTGAACTATCTCCCACCTTAAGTTGGATTAGCTGATCAAAGTACGCTTATCATGTTTGTATTGTGCCTGCTAAGATCAATTTTATTCTTTGAAATATTGCTCTGATAACAGCCATCGTTCCGTGGTCCTGTTTAACTGTTGAAAACCGAAATCCACAATTTAGTTCTCTTTAAAGAAGAATGTTTACCAAAACAAAGGTTTGAATTGGAATAACATCACAAGAGGATAAGAAGTGGAATATTAAGACATAAAAAATGCATTAGTGAAGGTGATTCAAAAGAAAAAATAACATCTCCCTCTGGTCTACAAGCATCAAGGCCACATAAATCTTTTGATCTTTCCAAGCACTATTTTAGTCTTTTAGCCATTTGACTTCATCAATTTTATTAACAGAGTTTGAAAACAATATTAACTATAATACCATGCAAAAGCTAAAATCTCAGAAAGGGCTCATTATATTTTATTATATAATTCTCCATCCTAACACTCTCATTTTGAAACAATTTGTAAAAATTTTATTATTATTGTTCTGGATGAAACCAATTTGTTATTTTCTTCTATCCACACGAATAGCAGAAACAATGTGGCATTGCTATAACAAACATTATTGACGATATGAGTCAACAAATGGAAGCATAGAAGTCAACAAGGATCACAAAACCTCCGAAAGAAGTCTTCCCTTCTTGAGAGATCCACCAGTTCAGATCAACAGCAAATCCCATAACAATATCTCTCCATGATTCAATCAGAAGACTTAACTCAGATTTGTCTTCCATGTAATCAATGTCTCAATATCCGTCAGACTTGATTCGAAACAAGTGTCTTGCAATTGTTTAACTCAGCCAAAATCTCCGCTCCTAGTATCACAATTCGAAGTTGAGATTCCGATAAAGATTTTTTGCAGTTCCTTAATATCACCTCCTTCTTCAAATCAAATACGATGGAAAATTGAAAAAATTATAAAGGCATTCAAGAACAATAAATATAAACCAAGTTGCAACAAACCTTTAATCTAGAAGTAGTTAAGCAGTGTCTCAATCCTGTGTGGAGGTTTTCTTTTGCCAGCCTGCTCCTCATACTCCGATTAAGTTGACTTCAAATCGTGGTGTCAGTCAAAAATTTCTCTCTCCTGGATAGAGGACCAAGCGCCCCGATAAAGCTGAAAAATCAACATATGCATCTTGATTACAAATATAATACAAAAAATATTTTTTATACAATGAAGCAACATTAAGTGAAAAAAATTCCAAAACAAAAATCAAGAAAAGATTTTAAAAGAACTGTAGGTAAATATTAGACTCAACTCACCGATTCCGTATAGAGAGTTGCCACTCAAAGAAGAAGTCTGTTGATTAAGGATTTGATGTTTGACAAATATAACAAATAAACGGAAATGTGTTGGCTACTAGTATAAACTCCACTGTATGCTAACAAAATGTACAGTCCATAATGAACAATGAAAAATCACTGCTTTTATATTTAGGTTATGTAACAAAATGGTTGACACAAAAGTTTCAACAATTTTGTCCAGCATGAAATTCCAACTATTGGTAGTATACTTGTAGTTTGCAAGATCAAAATAGAAGATAGGCTTGAAAAAGTAATATGGACAAGAAAGGGAAGCAATAAACACTATCCAGCTAATTGTCACACTTGATATTGATTAACACAAATCTTCTGCAAATATTTTCTATTTTTCCTCTACTTTTTAATTATTAGTAGCGAAACCACTCTTAAGTTTAATGTCAGAATAAGTAACTCAACATATAATTATTTCCTCTGAAAAATATTATCCAGAAATGGCATTTCATATGCAATATAAATCTTGCTAGAGTTCAAACAAGATTGGCCATCAAAAACTGATAGGCAGGCGGCAATCTATTATTATTATTACTATGTTTTGATACAATTCAGATCAAGATAAAGCTAAGTTGATGACAAAACCTAAGGGTGAAAATGACAAACAAGAATCTAAATTAATAATATAGAATACTACAACTTGTTAAGGGACTAAAATTGTGGGACAGATGGAATAATAGTTATTGGTCATAAAAACATGTACATATATAATTTCCAATAACCAAGTCTAAACTTCAGTTATACATACATGATACAACCATCCACTATCTCTATACCAACATCATTATCTAACAATATTTCAAATTGGAAATTCACAATTAAAAAGTACAGATAATGGATCAATGATGAGTTTGTCCTGAACAAATAATGACCAAATACCCATTCTAGAGACTTTACCTTCTTTAGGATGCAAGTTTTTTCACCTTCTTCAGGAAGAGTAAGATCTAGATGTGATTGATTATAATTCATAATAATCTTAATGTATTTCAATTCAGCTGACAAAATAAGTAGTTCCTAAAAACAAATCACAATAATAATAAATAAACTAAACAAGGAATTTTGCAGGTTGATGCACAGCCACAATACTACTAACATTTTAACCCAGGCCATGTACAATATGAATACTATCTTCTTTACTGTTGATGACTTAAAAGTTTATTATAGGTGATCATATTATCATTAATAAACATCAATCCAAGTTCTTTCATGTAAATGAACAAATATGGGATCATATACTGGACAAAACTTACCAGATTTTAAAATCAACAGTACAAAAAATGCAAATGCCCCCTGAACAAACTAAGGTATTAAATGGTTTCTAAAAATTATTCAATTATGAGATCCTATCTAACACCAACTCTTGCTTTATTAGCCTAGCACTTCAATTCTTGCAAAAGACCAAATAACTCACTCAAAGAGGAAAGTGAAACAGAGGAAACGTATAATCACAATAATATCCGGACAAAGGATTCAGTTGAGAGCTTCATAACTGTAAGGAAAATCACAACCTCAAGCTATCTGTTAAAGATTCTGGTGTTATACAATGGAAAAAGCGTACTCTAAGTTATCACTGCAGCCATCATGAGTACCATTACAGAATCTTTAACAGCCTGACCAACATAATAAGTTTTTCCTCTGTAAAACTGAGTTTATATGTTCAAACTAAATATAATCCTTTAACCAGAGTTATTTGGTGATGGGCATAAGAACTTGACAGATGGATTACCAGAATATATGTAGAGAACATTCTGAATAAACTTATTGAAACACATCACTCCACTTAATTAAATTAAAAAAACCTAGTATCACTTCAAACAATCATGTATAAACCCAAAAGAGTATATCCTAACTTAGGAGAGTCTACCAGACCCTGTAACACATATATTCCCTGAAGCATAAACATAATGCTAAAACAAACCCCAATCGCATTAAAATTATATATCTGCAAGCCGATTATATTGATAACCAAAAAAAGTAATATAATAAAATATCTTGGAAGAACAGATAACCTTCTCGTCAAGTTCAAGTTGAATTTTTTCCTCAGCCAAACGCTCTAATTCTTCTTCTGCCTTTTTAACATCCCTCAATGTATTAGCTGCTTTAACTTTTTCTTCCCTCAGAGTGTGCCACCTGATTTGAATGTTTGACAAATCATTTTCCATGTACCTTTGTTCATCCCTTAACTTCTCCAGTTCATTATGCAAACCATCTCTGCCAAACAAGAGAAACATAGAAGAGGAGAAAGATTATAGGAAGAAATGAAACAATTAAATTAGAATAGGAAAGCATAAAATTGCTACTCGTAAATAAGAATTCTAGTATGTACATGCTAACCTAATCACAACAAGGTAATTAATCCTAGGGGTGATTGAGATAATCCTGGGGACCTATACACCTGTTTTTGATGCAGGTGGAAACCTATTAACAGCTGGGCTATAAATTTTTGAAGCTAAAAGCTATAAAAATAAAAATAATTGAAAGAAATTAGCAGTTTGGCTCATATAATCTACAAAGTTCATTTCTTACTAAACACTTGAAATTCCTATGTCTGAAAAAATTATACAATTATGTAGTCGGTGAATAAGTTCAAAGTAACATACTTTGTGCTCTGCAAACCATTTATCTCTGTCTGAATTTCCTCCATGGTTCTAACACCTTGTCCTCGAGAATCAAGCATGTACTCCAAATCATCCACTTGCTTTTGCCAAGTTTGAATTTCTTGGAAGAGTCTGTCAGCAGTTTCAACAGGTTGCAACAAGGCTTCAACTGATTCCTTATCAGCCTTTATTTGAGCTAAAATACCTAACACCTACAGATGAAACATTTAACATATTGTCAGACTTAATTAATCCTCATACATCATATTATAGACATTTGGTCAATATATTGCAACAGGAAATTATACTTGAATTCAGAGTGAACAAGTTTCAAATCCTGAAGAACTCCTGAGACCCACTGTGGTATGAAAAAGAGACCATGACCACACAAAATTTGCAGGATGAAAAACATAGAGAGATAGAGGAAAGCAAAAGAACTATACTTCAAAAGTATTATTTTTAAACTTAATGCTGTTACATACTTAAACTATTAACAACAAAACTAAACAGAAACTAATTTCAGCAATTTTTGGTTGGCAGCACACTGCTCTTCACAATTTTGCTTTTCATGAGTCACATCTTCCGTTAGATAATAGACACCATGTCCGTTTCCATGCACTTGGTCTATATTACCTTAAAAGCTGTTCCTCTGGTGCTTCACTGCTTATAGCACATTTGTACTGAGCCCAAATGGGAGTAAAACATTCACATCAAAGTTCTACAATGTGCATGAGAAATGTCTCAGTCAGCATCGGTCCAAGTCCATATAGCGCATATATATGCCATACTGATCAGTAGTCCTTCAAACTGGTTTCTGAGTTCAATATTCTTTCTTTTAATAAGAGTTTACTAGCTTAATCCAAATATTCCATGCTAATCTTCCTTTTTCTAAACGATATTTAAAGATGTATGCTAAAATCAAATGATAAATGCACCTCTAATAAACTTATCCAAAGTCCGAAGATGCTGGTATTTTTATTTTTCTCAAGGCATTGTGAGGATTTCATGCACACAATCAAGTAATTACTAATATACACAGTCGTGAGTAAACTATTGTGTGCAGACTTTTTGTTGTATTGCTTGATATAGAAATTTTCACTGTTGCATGACTCTACTCGGCCAACATCTGCATATTCTGATACTAAGACAAAATCAAGGCGGAACACTTTTTAATCAAAAATGAAAAAGCTAAATCAGGTAAGAACTTGGTGATCACAAATTTGAAACTCCTGTATTAACATATGAGATATGTAAAAGTAACATGCTGCAGAACTGATACTCACATCATCAAAAGCCAGAGACTTCTGATCCAGCTCTTCAGTAAGCACATGCAGATTTTTCTCAGCAAGAGGGATTGTTTCCTTGTTAATTTTGAGATATTCTTCAAAAACCATACGAAACTTGTCCAACTGCTGAAAATAAGAATCGGCATTTGAGGACTCCACAGCCAACACTTTCATGTGCTCAGCTGAACTTGCTGCTTTTACTCTTTGCTGTAAATCACAAGAAAATTTCAGCCAGCTTGGCAAACAACTAAAAGAAATCAAAGAGGCCAGCGAATTTATAGACAGCCAATTAAAGACCAAAAATCATGAAATACTACAAAGAAGTATGTGGAGTAAGTTGAGGCAGAATGTGCTTATAGATTCGATAATGAATTACACCAACCTTTTTAACAAAGTCATCTTCCTCTTCAGTGGAGAATGGACGCTCACAGCAAGGGCAAACATGATGAGCACGGGCAACTCTTTCAAAAGGATCAAACATCTGCCGCATACCATCTGCAATGTTGTACTTACTGCAGGTGATGCACAAATATCGCATTAGCCGCTTCATATCAACAAAGAAAGACATTTCACCTTTTTCCAGTCATGTAATTAAAGTCAAAACCAAAAACCTTTTCTGAACATCTCTTTTCTCCTTAGCCGAATCCAAGGCTTTTGGATAAGAATCTATGGTGAAAGATTGCTGACTCATGGACTCAAGTTTGGATTCAATAAATCTCTTCTTTGCTGCAGAAATCAAGAAAAAAAAAAAAAAATTAAAGTCTTGCAAAGGAAACAATTGAAATTCAATGGGTTGGCAGGGAAGGTGAGAAACAAAAAAAAAAGAACAAGATTGCTGACATTCGTAAGTCATAATATCGACTAACTAACTCTCCTAAATAGGGAGAGCAATGCTCAATAAATTTGATAATTGTTTGAAGCAAGGATGCAATGCTGCCAGCTGGATTGTGCCCAAGACCCTAGCAATATAGCTGATGTGCATGAGTACTAGAGCTCTCATGAACAAAGCTTCAAATGTGAGAAAAGCTACAATATTAAATAAATTCATTCATGATATTGAGAGGACACTTACAGTCTACATCCTTGCGATGTTTGGACAGGTTATTATTGACTTCTTGTATTTTCATCTGCAACATGTTTACTTCCTTCTCAGCTTCACGGGATTTTGAGCTCAAATCATCAAACTCCATTACAAGAGCCCTGCACTAGGAAAAGAGTCAATGTGATGAAAAACTCATAACACTTAGTGAAAATAAGTATGGATCAAAAACAAAGTTACAAACATATATCCCTCAACCTTGCCATGCACTTCTGACTTATGAATTGATAAAACCTAAAGAGCTGCGACGTAGGAATAAAATTGATACAAGCAAACATATATGGAGTAAATAACTAAAACGAACATAAGATAATTAAGAAACATTTAAGGACACAAAGTAATACTGGGTTTCAAGAGAGAAGTTTCAAATATTCCATCAAATCTTAATGGCTTAGCTCACATTTACGAATAGGCATGTATTACTGATAAAATTTGATGTGGGTCTGACTCCTCACCCAATAAAGCCTTGTTGAATGGGAGGATTACCTCCTCTTATAAACCAGTAGGCTTGAGCGTGCTAGTCGGTGTGGGACTCCAACACTCTCCCTTACGGTCAAGCCCATATGTTGGGTCATGCTTATTGATGGAGGTAGTTGCTGACTCTAACTCCTCACCTGTTGGTCAAGCACTCAACTCAACTGGGCTTAACTCCAATACCATGATAGAATTTAAAGTGGGTCTGACTCCTCACCCAATAAGGTCATGTTGAATGGGAGGATTACCCTCTCTTATAAATAAGTAGGTTTGAACGTGTCTAGTCGGTGTAAGACTTCAACAATTATAGTAATGAGGAATAACTCAGCGTTCCATTTATTTATTGTAGGGTAGGCGTATCAAGTGTTCAAATCCAAGACCATGCAAACTGAACTACAAAATATGCTAACTAATTAAATGTAATTTATCTCATTCCAAACAATAAAATGATTGGAAATTTGTCTAGTGTTACAGATGTATATAACTTCCTAGATTATAGGGATCACATTAAAATCTTGATTATAGGGATCACATTAAAATCTTGGATTATAGGGATCATTTGTATCCTAATAGAGATTGATCACCTACCTAGTTTAGAACACTACAAGTGTATATAAATATGTATCCTTTTAAGCTATGAATGAGAAGTGTGAATATTCATCATTAGTACGTTTATTTACATGGTATTAGAGCCTTAAAAGGTAATTAGGATTTGGATTTCAAAATTGGGAAATTAGGGTTTGGGTTTCAAATTGGGAACACCTATTTAGGTTGAGATTTGTTCAACACCGCCACCCTAGGGAGATTCAGAAGCCGCCGATCGGCAAAACCCCGAGTTCCGACCATCAGAATCCTTGTGCGTGAGCTCCACACGCCACCTGAAATCTAGTGAACAGTACCACGCGCCGGCGCGTGAGACCGCGTCCACCGCTGATGTCTCCTCCAATTCTCTTCGTCTGCTTCGCCGGTACTTGTACAACACATATTCGTGTTGGATTGGATAATCTCTTACTGGTTCACTGCTGTTCTTTGTTTGGATATTTCTGAGGATTTAGTTGTGATCTTTCGACGCTTTGTTTTCGTTTGGTTGTTGGATTTTTGCTGTGCTGTGGCCTCTGGTTGGTGGTGGCTGTTGATTGATTTGGTGTGTCACTGAAATTTGTTAGTTTGCTTTGTTTTAACCGTTTGTTGGTGTGCATTGGGATTATCGTCTGTTTAAGACATGTCTAATACAAAGCCAGTGATGGAAATGATACCGACGATGTTGAAAATTACAGAACATAATCTCATTGGTATAACTAATTATCATGATTGGTGTAAAACTATTATACTGTATTTGCGGAGTATTGATAAAGATGATCCTATGACTGATGATCCACCTGAGGATGATTCGAAAAAGACATGACTCTAGGATGATGCTCGGTTGATTCTACAAATACGGAACTCTATTGACGGTGACGTACTTGGCCTAATTAATCATTGTGAGTTTATTAAAGAACTGATGGATTATTTGGAGTTTCTGTATTCTAGAAAAGGGAATGTTTCTCATATTTATGAAGTGTGTAAGGCATTTTACCGTGCAGAGAAACAAGATAAGTCTTTTACAGCTTATTTTATGGAGTTTAAGAAGACTTATGAACTATTGAACATGTTGTTACCCTTCAGTGCTAATGTCAAAGTTCAACAAAAACAATGAGAGCAAATGGCAGTCATGAGTTTTCTTGCAGGTCTTCCTTCTGAATTTGAGACTGCTAAGTCTCAAGTTCTAGCCAGTCCAGAGATCTCTTCGTTGCAAGATATCTTTAGTAGGGTACTTCACACAGAAGGTACCCCACCGGCTCAGTTTAGTGGTGCTCTTGTTAGTCAAAAGAATGACTATGAATCTGGGCGATCACAATTTGGAAGTGGCAACAAAGGAGGAGGGTCAAATAGTAATATGAGAGGAATTGTGTGTCACTACTGCCATAAGCCAGGACACATGAAGCGTGATTGTAGAAAGCTTCAAACAGAAATAAAAGAAATCCTTCTGCCCATGTTGCATCCACTAATGATACTTCGGATCAGTCAGTTCATATCTCTGCAGATGAATTTGCCAAGTTTTCATTGTACCAGGAATCATTAAAAGCTTCACCTACTCCTGTCATGGCTATGGCTGACTCAGGTAAGTCAAATACATGTCTCCTTTCCTCATCCTCCAAATTCGTCATTGACTCTGGTGCAACATATCACATGTTAGGTAATCCCAGTCTCTTTGCTACTTATCAATTAAAAACCCTTTCAAATGTGACTTTAGCAGATGGGTCATCATCCTATGTTCTTGGGTCTGACACAGTTACCCCTACTCCACAGCTTCCCTTGTCAAATGTTTTACATTTACCAGATTTTTCTTTTAATTTGATTTCTGTTAGCCAACTTACTCGTGCTCTTAACTATTGTGTTTTATTGTTTACCGATTATTGCTTGTTTCAAGATCTTACGACGAAGAAGATTATTAGTAAAAGACATGAATCTAAAGGTTTATATATTCTTGACAGACCAAAATCTACACCTGTCGCTTGTTCTAGCGTTACATCCCCGTTTCAAGCACATTGTCGTTTAGGCCATCCATCTCTTCCTTCACTAAAGAGATTGTGTCCTCAGTTTAATAAGGTGTCTACATTAGATGTGAGTCATGTTAGTTTGCTAAACATCATCGTGTCAGTTCTAGTCCTAGAGTCAATAAAAGAGCTAATTCTCCCTTTGAATTAGTTCACTCTGATGTTTGGGGTCCCTGTCCAGTTCTGTCTAAAACTGGTTTTAGATATTTTGTTACATTTGTGGACGCTTACTCTCGTATGATTTGGTTATTCTTAATGAAAAATCGTTCTGATTTGTTTTCTTATTTCTGTGCTTTTTGTATTGAGATTAAAACTCAATTCAATGTTTCTGTTCATACATTGCGCAGTAATAATGCAAAAGAATATCTGTCAGTTTCATTTCAAAATTACATGACTCAGAATGACATTCTTCATCAAACTTTATGTGTTGATACTCCATCTCAAAACGGAATAGCAAAACGGAAAAACAGACATCTTCTTGAAACTGTCAAGCCTTATTACTCCAAATGAATGTTCTTAAACCATTCTGGGCTGATGCAATTTCCACCGCCTGCTTTTTTATTAACCGCATGTCGTCTTCTATCCTTCATGGTGAGACCCTGTACAGTATTCTTCTTCCTAACAAAGCATTATTTTCTCTTGAACCTAGGGTATTTGGTAGCACTTGCTTTGTTCGGAATGTTTGACCGTCAGTCACTAAATTAGATCCCAAATCATTAAAATGTGTCTTTCTTGGTTATTCTCAACTTCAGAAAGGATATCGGTATTATTGTCCAAGTCTTAATAAGTATCTTGTTTCCATTGATGTTGCCTCTTTAGAAGAAACACCATACTTTCCCTCTTCTCCTGCAGATCGTCAGAAGGATGATGATAATGGTGATTTGTTAGTTTATACTTTTACTTTCCCTGCACCGATATTTGAACCGGCTCCTATCTATGACCCTATCACTATTCTTGCGCTTCCTGCATCGGCTCCTATCTTTGATCTTGCTCCTGTCAAAGTCTACTCTCGTCATCCACCTCCTCCTGTTTCATGTCCGGCACCAACTTTTTCGTCATCCGATCCAGTTTCAAGTGATGATCTTCCTATTGCATTACGAAAAGGTAAAAAAAAGTGTACTTATCATGTTTCTTCTTGTGTTTCTTATGATCATTTGTCACATTCATCATGCTTCTTTATTGCTTCCTTTGATTCTATTACTATCCCTAAAACTGTTCATGAAGCCCTTTCTCATCCTGGTTGGCGTAATGCAATGATAGAGGAAATGAATGCCTTAGATGACAATGGTACTTGGAAATTGGTAGATTTACCTTTAGGGAAACAGGCAATTGGATGCAAATGGGTGTTTACAGTTAAAGTTAATCCAGATGGGTCAGTTACTCAACTAAAAGCTCGTCTGGTTGCTAAAGGATATACTCAGACCTATGGAGTTGATTCTTCTGATACTTTTTCCCTTGTGGCTAAGTTCACCTCTATTCGGATGTTTATCTCTATGGCAGCTACTTATGATTGACCTTTGCATCAGATAGATATCAAAAATGCTTTTCTTCACGGCGATCTTCAGGAAGAGGTATATATGGAACAGCCTCCTGGGTTTGTTGCTCAGGGGGAGTATGGGAAAGTATGTTATCTTCGCAAATCTCTGTATGGTTTAAAACAGAGTCTTCGTGCTTGGTTTGAAAAGTTTAGTCAGGCTGTTGAGAGATTTGGTATGCTGAAATGTAAAACTGACTATTCTATTTTCTACAAATAGTCTGAAACTGGCGTCATTCTTCTAGTTGTATATGTGGATGATATTGTTATTATTGGGAGTAATAGTGTGAGCATCATATCTCTTAAGTCTTTTCTCCATACCCAGTTCCACACAAAAGACTTAGGGATATTGAAGTATTTCTTGGGGGTTGAAGTTACAAGGAGCAAATGAGGTATATTCCTCTCTCAGAGGAAATATGTGCTCGACTTATTAACCGAGACAGGGAAATTGGGGGCAAAGTCATGTAGTATTCCGATGGTTCCTAATATGCAGCTTACGAAAGATGGTGAACTATTTGGAGATCCAGAGAAATATAGAAGATTGGTTGGGAAGTTGAACTATCTTACGGTGACTCGTCCAGATATTGCATATTCAGTAAGTGTTGTCAGTAAGTTTATGGCCTCCCCAACAGTTCATCATTGGGCGGCTTTGGAGCAGATCTTGTGTTATTTGAAAAGAGCCCCTAGACGTGGTATATTTTATGCCAATCATAGTCACTCTCATATTGAATGTTTCTCATATGCAGATTGGGCAGGTTCCAAGGTAGATAGAAGATCCACATCAGGCTATTGTCTTTGTCGGAGGAAATTTAATATCATGGAAGAGCAAGAAGTAGAATGTCGTGTCACGATCAAGTGCAAAGTCGGAATATAGGGCTATGGCACAAGCTGTTTGTAAAATAATGTAGATATATCAGTTCCTAACTGAAATAGGCCTTGAAACTTCAGTACTAGCGAAATTATGGTGTGATAACCAAGCGGTTCTTCATATTGCATCTAATCCAGTGTTCCATGAACGAACAAAACACATTGAGATCGATTGCCATTTCGTTCGTGAGAAACTACAGCAAGGTCTGATTTCCACTGGGTACGTGAAGACTAGAGAACAATTGGAAGATATCTTCACAAAGGCTCTAACTGGGATTCGAGTTGATTATCTTTGTAAAAAGCTGGGTATGATTGATATCTATACTCCAGCTTAAAGGGGAGTGTTACAAATGTATATAACTTCCTAGATTATAGGGATCACATTAAAATTCTGGATTATAGAGATCACTTGTATCCTAATAGAGATTGATCACCTACCTAGTTTAGAACACTATAAGTGTATATAAATATGTATCCTTTTAAGCTATGAATGAGATGTGTGAATATTCATCCTTAGTACGTTTATTTACATCTAGAAATATGCAACATAGTGCAATAGTGGCTTTGGTGATCGAACCAACTTAATAATATTAGCAATGCGATCTACAACTGATGTTAGAGATAAATACTATTGTTGGACTCTTATTTATAAGCTTAAACTTTTAAGTCAAGTGGTGAACTAATAAGGTATCAAAGCTGTGTTGACCATATGGTCTTGTGTTTGAATCCCCTTATTGCAAGTTGTGTCTATGGTTGTTGTAATAATTGTGGTTCTGGCTGTGATGGATTCATATGCCTAACACATGAAGTTAAACACTATTCTTTGCCAATACATATCTAAAGCTTATAGGTCAATGATAACTTATATGAATCTTGCCGCTTTGAATTATGTGCAAAACAAAAGCGGGTGTAGAATACAAAAAAAGTGTCACAGAGACATGGGCAGTCAGGCACATATCTTCTAATCATCGTAACACATCATTATATAGAAATTTAATAACAATACCCACCTTAGGGCTTGAGTAATTTCCTTTTTGAGATCCTTGTCTTGAGGAAGCCTCCCTTTAAGCACTCCTCTGATTTTATCCTTGTACTCATCAACTCTGGGTAAAATAAATAAGAAAGAAATAGTTAAAAATCAGTTTCCATAAATGTAATATTAATAGTACATAATAAAAAAAAAGCTGATGAATCAAAAGATGCAGAATTACATCTTTTTATGTTTCTTCTTGTGAGTCTCCAACTCTGCCTTCTTCAGAGACAGTTTCACTCTGTCCTCAGACTCACCAGCCATTATGTCTTTCTCTCGATTAAGAGCCTTGAGTTTTTGCTCTATGCCAAATAACTCACTCTGCTTCTGGCGTATGTTTAATTCAAATTCTCTTTGAGCAAGCTGATTAGTCTTTCTCTCAACCTCAATTCGCTGTCAAAATAGACACATATGAAAAAAAAAATACTTTCATTATGGCTTAGTGTCATTACCTAAAATAAAGGCAGTTAACCAAGCAAGACAGCTAAGAAAGGAAACTCACCATGCTATTTTCTCTCTCATCAATGTGAGAAAGATTGACATTAGATATTTGAAGTTCAAATAAATCACGCTCATTTTCCTTCTCCCTGATGCGTTTCAAAATACCACTCTGCATAAAATCAAAATTTCAATCCCCACTTTCAAACGTGAGGATTAATATCGAAATGGTAATATAACATGCATTCTTGAAGTCCACCTTAATTTCCATTTTAGCTTGTTTTTGAGCCTCAATGTTCTTCCAACGATCATTTGCATCCATGTAGCTTTCCCATGCTGTCTTAAGTTCTTGTTCATTTGATTTCTGAAATAATCAATGCCCCTCATTATTGTTGTTATCAAACTGATCAATAAAAAATTTGTAAAGAACCAAAGGTGAAAGAATTAATATTTCCAATGCTCAAAATCCTATTAAAAAATGGAGAGCTGCGCATCAAACAGCCAAATCCACCTTTTTATCTTCCAAATCCTTCTCAAGATCCATTAACCTTGATTTTATTCGATTTGTGAGGTTCAAAGAAGCTTCATTGCTGAATGGCGCATCTGGAAGAGACCCTAAATTATATCTCGCAAATAGTTTCTGAATGGTGGAGTCCCTTTCGTTCTTCAAGGACATATGAACCTAAAGGAAAAAGGAAAAAAAAGTGAGCTTGAATCAGATTTTAAATGAATTGGATTACTTTTAGAGTATCAAATGTGCATAAAAGCATTGGCATTACTTCAGCTTCCGTCTGAAGCTTGCCAATCTCCCATATGTAATCATTTATACTCTGCTTTAGGAAAGAGCTTTCTGTTTCCTTGTCATTCATTTCCCTCTCCAGTTTGCTAATTTTATTCTCTAAAATTGCTATTCTTTCTTCAAACTTGGTTTTCCATTCCCTCAATTCTTCATCAGTATCTGACCAACAGAAATGGAAAAGTTTATGCCACTAAACATTACCAACTAGAGAGTGGTTTGACACATGCAGCATGTAAATGCTCTACACAGAATAGAAGGCATGATAATTTATACAACACAAATAATACAAACATGTATGCAGGCATCTATCAAAAAATAAAGTGTAAAAGCTGAGAAAAAATTATCCCATGATGTCATTCATAAACCTTCATTTTCCGCATCAAGAGCTGCATACTGCTTCTGTTGCTCCTTAAACAAAGTGCTCCTTTGCGCTGTTTTGGTTGATATCTGGTCCTGTAGTTTCCGCAAATCTTTCAGTGTTGTTTCAGTATGATGAATTTTAGCATCCACATCTTGGATGTTTCTTTCGAGCTCCTGCATTTGACTTTTCAAGGATTCTGTTTTCTCTTGATCTTGAGAAATACTTTCACGAAGCTGTACAAAGACAACCTCACATAAAGTTGAAGTTCACTAAATATTAAACGTAATCAGGTGACATGGATAAATAATGCCACTGCAAAAAAATGAGTACATTGACCAAAAAAAAAATTAAAAAAAAAAAAAAAAAAGAAGAAGCTGCCGCAGAGCATGAGAAAGATTGAAGAACATAAAGCTAGCAGTTAAAAGATTAGCAACTTTTGTGCTTATTATAAAGACCTAGCTAAAAGGGAAGAAAAGAGATCTAGTTGCTTGAGTCTACAAACTAAACTGAAAATTCACAGATGAAAAATGAAGAGAAAACAAATAAGAATGGCAAAAGAAAAGAAAGCTAAAAGGAGCGTAATAATACAAGTTCCCTTTCAGGAGCTTTAAGATATGTCTATCACAAAACTTTATAACAAACTCTGCTCAGTAAAAGTATAACACTCTTGACAACTAAAAGGAAAAGATTGCAGTATCATAACTGATAAAGCCAGTGTACATAATGAACTGGAAGAGCAAACTTAATCTTTGACTAGAGTGCAAGACATATATATTACTATGGGGTAAGTATCACTAAAGAGAAAAGATTATGATGTATTCATGTCCTAAACTGTCACTAGTACCAGCTAAACTATTAAAGATCTTTCACTAGAGCTCAGCAAAATGAAACCAAGTTCCACCAAGCTGTATAGATCCAATTTTCCACCTGGTCCCACGTTCCCGAATTCTCTCTACTTAAAATGAACCAACAATAATTTAATACTGAAACCAGAACACTTCTAAGGAGCCAAATTGACAACTTGTATAGTGAAGAAACCACAACTCTATCTATCACTTTCTCATGCTATGAACCAGCAAGAAACCCACTGATTGTTTCAGATAATATGAACATATACATTACCAAAAAAATTTATAATACAATCACAAAATAAAGGGAAATAAATGAAAAGAAAAGAAAAAACAAAAACAAAACCTTATATGCAGCATCCTTCAAAGTCTGAAGATTCTCCAGTTTCAGCTTATAAGTCTTTATCTCTTGATTCTGATCCTTGTGAAGTTTTTTAATGACCTCCAAAGCCTTTGTATACCTGTTTTGCAAATGGTCAATTATAACTCAGGTCATCAGAAATTTATTTAAACAAAACAACTGTAAGAATCTTAAAAATAAAAACTGTGGGGAAGAGAAAAACAATACAGGCCACATATAAAGGGTATCCTGAAAGGCCTTTAATCGTGAAATACCTTTCTATCCAAAAAAGAATAATGTGCAAGTAATCTGTTTCTAAAGCCTCTTAAAGTAACTATAACTAAATGAGGAGAGAATTCTAGAAAACTAACTGTTTAAACTTTAAGATGGCTACCTCGTGTAACATCAATATTAGACGTTTTGGTACAAAATTTAAGGAAACCATGACAATTTAATTGAATATTATACAGTAGATACTCTGAAAAATATAAGGATATTGCATGAAAAGAGTGACGATATTTATGTGCAGCACAATAAATGTATGAGAAATGAACATCTACAATGTCACAGGCACTCAATCATGCAGTGTAGTTATAATTTGTGCTAGGTCACTCCACTGTGGTCCATCTAGGACTAGTGTTAAGTTTTTCTTATTTTGTTTTCTCTGGAAGTTTGTCAAAGAAAAACACGGATATTCTTAATCAGACTATGTTTGGACATTTCTTCTATCTTTCAGTTATTTTGTAAGGAAGTCACAACTCAATGCAGTTATACTATTCATATAATTCCTTGGAATATGTTAAAGCATACATTCAGTGCTATAGTTACGCCAATGATTTTTTGCAGAACATATTGAAAAAAGTACTAGGATTCCTGTAGTCTATGCAAAAGACATAGTGATTAGTAATAGTCATACAATCTTTAAACTTTCAATTTAAACATTTAAGAAATAAAAGTCGAGGAAAAACCACGTTAATTTTTCTCTATTTAAGTAATGAGTCAAAGAAGGATTATAATCATCTCAAAGACCATATTACTTTTATTTGCTTGATTAGATTGGTATGATGGATCCAATGCAGATCTTCCAAATACAAAGTTCAATATATATTACAGAAAAGTGTTTGAAGATCCTAGCAGATAGAAGACTGGTGATAATTTTTTATTTTTAACATGATACTTGACATCACTTTAATTGTATCAGTGGTTAGTCGGTGTGTTGTGTTTAACATATTGAAGGGGTGTCCCAGATAGGGGTCTAATTCTGAAACTATTAGATAATTTGGATATAACTGGATTTTCAAATGAAAGTTAGCTAGGTCCCTAATAGTCCAAATAGATGGTCAATTTAAGAATTCTAAATTAGTAGGTGGGATGCTCGTTACATGAAAAAGAAAAAAAAATGTAGTTACAAGGTGTAGTGCCAATACCAAGAAGAAATTTAAGGCTCAGTGGCTCACATAGCTCATGATACAGTCTAGATGAGCCAAGCATTCTTCCTTATGGCTAGATCCAATCGCCCAGTCCAGCAGAAAGGAAAAGGGAAAAAATTTATTCAGACTACAGAAATAGGTTCAAATGCCCCAACTGCCTTACTCTAGTTTCAAATCAACAGTTGCTGAACAGGCTGATGACGTTGAACCCAATGCAACAACTTGTCCCGTTAACTTATTCCACTGGTTACTGGTCACCTATAAGGATTTTCTTCCCATTATGTAAAGGCATTATCAATCATGAATATTGTGAAGAATTGTTTGAAAAATTGGATGGTACAGCAATGGATGAATGACAATCTGCTTGTGTATGTAAGCAGAAACATATTTGATTGTATTTAATACAAGGCTACAATACCATTGTTTCAAAACGTTATAACAAGTCCAAGAGTACTAGAAAATGCATGAAAATACAATGAGTTAATCTTTAAGCTTCCATATTTTTTTGTTTTGTTGAAATTCTTTTATCTCAGTATAGTTCAAGGTCCTCGCTGATATCCACGCTTCAATTTGTGGGAAATTGTTAGAATAGTTGAATGTTAAGACTAATATATAATAATGGTGTAACTTTTCTAAATTTGCATATATCTATTGGTCAATATATAAGGGTCGTCTCCTCTTTGGGGAAGACATGTAATCTTTGTTCCATCTATTTTTCTTTTCTACTTTTGCTTCTTTAATCTAGCAATAAATATCATTTGCTGCTAATTACTGAAACCTCCAAAAGCATCTAGCCAACCTCACCCTGTAGCAAACCTCTACCTACCCTAAAAATTATGTGTATTCAATGAAAATCATTAAAAAGAGATGTCAATATATGGTATACTGTATCCTTTCATTAAAAATATCATATGCAATTATGTCTATCCTATTAAAACAAGCATAGGACACAAACTAATAACCATAACAAGTGAACATGGTATGACAAACAGTTAGCGTATAGAAGATAAAAACAGGTAATAAAATATAAAATTATCATAATTTGTTGGGGAAAAAAAGGCTTGAAGAAATATGAGAATACCGGGTTGCAGAAAAGATATCATCAAACTTCTTTTTCAATGTTGAGGGATCTTGCAATGGCCAATTGGATTCGTCTTGGTGTACAAATATAACATTTTCAAGAATGGCCTTTGAAACACCCATTAGAGCTGGTATTTCCCGATCCATGTCTGCACATCTATAACTAAGGCAAACTTTCTGCAGCAGCACATAATAAAATAAAGTTAAATTACAAACATTAATGCAAGGGCCTCAGAAAGAGTAATATTAATTTAGAAAAGAACAAGAGAAATTATTTATTCATTTCATTAAATAAATTGCTGAAATGAAAGCCACAATTTGAAGAGCACTACATACATTGGAAAAAAAAAGGGGAAAATATCTTTCTTGGCATTTTTTTTTTGGAAAAAAATTTAGATGCCTCCTTGAAAATCTTTCCTCCTTTTTTGTTAAAAGTACAAAAATCTGAATAAATTTAGTCCAATTCTGATGATAAATCTAAAGAAAAATTTACTTCGGCATGCATTTTTAGTTCATTTTCACCATCACATCTTTAAATATAATCCATTCAAATTCAATTCGGGCATTGAACATTGGTAAAGTTTGAGTAGTGGACTTTGATTTTCTTTTGATAGGAAAAACTTAGATATGTATATTAATGTAAACAAAACTTAGATAGTGGATCAGTTATCCACTGATACACAATAACCCATCTAAAAAGGGGCTAAAGCTTTAAAGAGCATCATGACCTGTGCCAAAAGAAACCCCACACACCACCACCCCCCCCAAAAAAAAAAGAGAACACTACAGCTTGGACCTTGATTCTATCACCATTAATGGTCAGACCTTACCGTATCTATTTATTTGACAGGAAACAAGAGAATTTTTTAATCAAAAGAGGTAATACTAGAAAAGTGAACCAGCCACCCATTTAAAGAAACACCAAAATACAATAATCAACAGATAAAGAAACAGTATAAAAAACTCAAAATGAAGCTAAAACAGCCTCTCAATCTCTAAAAATACAGAAGAAAGAATAATCCTAAAATCCTACAGAAATTGAAGCCCACAATGATGGTAGGAAGTGAACTTCTCCCATAAGAATTCCAATCTTTCATCAGTGGGATATTTAAAATTCTTCTACTCCTCTCGAACCAAGTAACCCAAAAAGCAGCCAACAGACATCAATCCATAAAAACAAACCCTTAATATCCATTAAAAGCAAAATTGCTTTTCAATCCATAAAGAATCGCAAAGGCCCAGAAAAACCCAAGAGATTCTAGCTTCTTCAAAAATAGCTTAAACCACATCCTCAGAGCAATTGAACAATGGAGGAATAAGTGGTCCAAACTTTCTAAATTTTACAAACACACTAATTAAGAGACAAACAAATATTACTTCATCACTTTTGGAAAATGTCACAAGCGTTAATCACCCAATGAGCCAATAACGAAGAACAATGCACTTTACAAAAAATTTGCCTTCCAACTCATAAAAATGGTTGAAGGAAGAAATACTAGCAAGCCAATTAGAGGGAAAAAAGAAAGATTTACAAGAAAAAAAAATGTAGAAGAACCAAGCTTCAAAACTTTACAATCTTTTTCTCAAACCATTCAAGAAAACATTCCCAAGCAAAGAAAGAAGGCTAGACAGCTCTTCGTCGCAGTCACTAAAAAATTAAAAAAAAATTAAATCATCCTACTAGACAATGAAGTAAAAACCAATCTACTGTGAATAAAATGAGATACTGAAATTCCGTAGAGATGAGGAAATAAAGTGCAAATTGGAGTTTCACCCAACCAAGAATCCTCCCAACACAAAGACCTATTTACATTCCCCACCAAAAGATTCAAATGATTGAAAAATTGACAATGAGATAACTAGGTGCATTTGTTTCCCTATCCTATTTGTATTCCAAATCAAAATGCATATTTGTTTCCCTATTCTCAAAATCATATCCTAAATTATTCAACTAATTTTAATTTTCAAATCCTACCTCGTAATAACCACCCATTTCTACCTAACAATAATATTTCAAAAAAACTACTCCAAATAACTAAACAAACGCACCCTAGGTATCTAATGAAACTATAGTTGTATTAACCGTCACCTTAAGTGGAAGGTTTGACTAACCACTACTACCTAAAAAATTGACATCGAACTACAAGTTCCCCTCTTTCCATGAGTCTATCTAGGTTATATCGAAACCCTTCTCTTTAGCAAGCCATTGTAATTTTAAAACACAAAGGAAGTTGACAAATGCATCATCCAATAAAACTATGTTTCCTTTTTCCCTCAAGCATTGGCAAACCACCCAAACCGACATGCACTTTATGTCCACTTTTCTTAATAATATAGCAAGATAAAAGTCAAGCTAAGATATATATAGATAACAGGATCTCAAGTTTGCATACAATTTTACAACCTTATCAGAGGCATTACTGTAACTATGTTTAAACTTTCTTACATACAAAAAAGTTATTAAATTTCTCCATCAAACCACTTATCAGTTTCTCAAGAGCAACCAATACTCACTAATGCAAACCTTAGTATTTTCAATAAAAAAACTTCACAAAAAGGCTAATACAACACAACATAAAAGGGATTTCGTGGGAGTCACTCAAACATCATTCCATAAAATGGTTGGTCCTACATTGATATTAAACTTACAGTCAGATAAATGGATTTTCATGCTATACAATATATTAGTCATTCTTGTGTAAAAATCAAAACTTTAAGAGTCTATTTCATTCCTGACTTCAGAAAATTATCTTGTCTTTTCTGAATTCAAAAAAGATGTTTGGTGGCCGTAAAAAGCTCTTCTGAAAAATATTCCATGTCTAACTTTTGGAAGGAAATAAGAAAACACCTTTGAGTTATTTTCCCATTTTTCTCAGTTCAATTCAAAATACTGAAACATGTTTGAATTAATTTGATATTCTTCCAGCAAGTACAAATTTTTGACTCCTTGAAATTATCAAGATGATTAATAAGATAATATAGTAATTACAATAAAACATATATTTCAGTCATTTAAATTATAAGATAAAAGAAAAAAGAAAAAAAAACACTTTACCAGACACATTAATACTTTAATTTCAGAACCATGCTTTCAAAAGATGATGGATGTATTCTAAAATATAGTGACAACACAAAATTCAATTTCCTGTTTTGATTTCCATGTTAATTAATGTAAAAATGATTTGCAAAACAATACCAAATGGCCCATTAGTCTTTAAATGAAAATAAAAATATCACAAGATTAAAAATATCTAAAAAGAGCATATATACACAAAAGAACTTGTACCGACCTCCCCGGTATGAGGATTTATTGTTTGAAGCACACTCTCAATTGCCTTGTACTCCATCTTAGATGCTTTTTGTGTCAGTTGGAATGACCTTATGCAAACCACATCCTTCCCTGCGGCTGTCTTAAAACGGAGCTTAATTTGCCCTTTTGTCTCTGTTTCCCCGGCAACCTACAGTTATGAATAAGACACTCACTCTTAAAATCTTCTATCTAGTTACTTCGTAAATTTTTAGACAATTAAATAACATCTTTTTCGACTCATTTGGTGCTAAGAATTCAAAAATAATGCTCCACTAAACCAAGGCATAATAAAGTTGTGTTGTTTCATTACCCAAAGATGTCTCAAATTTTCATTGTTTGGACATGCAATGAGAGAAATGAAATGAATTGGAGGGAAACAGACATCAGTGATAACTCTTTAAGCCCAATTTTCACAGTCATCCGGATGTTTTGAGATTTAATGAGAACTAAAATTCATTATTGCCACTTCTTATAATTTTCAAAATATATGTGCTACTTCTTATAATTTTCAAAATATATGCACTAAGCATATGAATAAAAGTGATCAACGAACTCCTACTTCAATAAATCACCACACGATGCAATCAATTCTATTCACTTCTCTTTTCTAACAACATCCTTAGAACTAAATGGATGGAGTTGAAGGAAAAAAAAATTAAACAGAAGGCCAACAATAAGCTGCATTAAGTTACTTGGGAAACAACAAAGGGCAGTGAAATTTTTTATTTTTTGTTTTTTGAAAAAATATTAGTATTTTTTCTCAAGAAGAAACCCAAGTACAACCGAGTCTAGTTTAGGTCATTTAACATAACACTAAATTTCCCAAGTAATTATTTTTTCTGGGTTTCGACAGCAACCAAACAAATTATAATTCAAGAATATGACACTATAACAATACATGTAACGAAAGAGACCAAGAAGAGAGAGAGAGATGAAAAGCAAAGAATGAGACCTTGGGATCATGAATAAAACTGTGGCCAGACCTTGCATTGGGAGGCAACTCTCCAGTGCAAGAAAGCTTCAAGCACTCAATAATGGTCTACAAAAATCGAAACCACAAAATTATTCAATAAACAGAATTAGAAATTAAAAAATATACTAAAAAAAAAACAGAAGAAGTGGGTATTTAATTACTGTTTTGCCAGCGCCATTGGGGCCAACAATCAGAGTTAAAGGCTTGAAGAAGGTGATGACGTTCTTGTTTTCCGGGTCGAAACTCCGGATTCCTTTTATAAGCATCTTATCAACCGTACTCATTTTTTTTTTTTCTTTTTCCTATCAAATATAGTTAATATAGCTACGCTCTGATGATGAACACGATCATGGGAATGAATGGAGGGTTCAAGCAAAAATAAAGAGGGAAAAGGGGTTTTGTTTTGACACTGAGGAAGATAGTAGAGTATACAATACGAGGAAACGAAAAGAAATTAAAGAAAGGGCGGGTACGGTGGATTGATCATGGGCCTCAGGCTTCAAGGGAGTGTTCCGGGTCCTTTTAAGCCCACGGGCTTTCTGTGATCATGTCCAATTTTTCATATTTTGTCAAATTAAAATTTTTAAAATATATATATATATTTTTTTATCAGCTTTTGGTAATTATTTATTTTTGGGAAATCTTATTTGAGCCCACTTATTTTATCAATAGCCTCCACTTTTTATTTGGGTAAGCGTAAAATTGAAAAATAAGGTTGAAATTGTAAATACGTGATATATTATTATTTATTAGAAGTAGATATAGTGAGTAACCATCCTAAGAGAAGTGGGATAAACATCCATAAAGAAGGATTTGTATTTTTGTAGCAGTTGTAATTTGGAGGGGAGAAAAAGAAGTTTCTTTTTTCTTTTTTTCAATAAGCACACTCAATTTCGCTTGATTTATCCACAATTGATTTCTTTGTTTTTTCATTTTTCTTAATTCTTAGGAAAAGATTTTATATAAAATTTCAAAAGATTTTCAAATAATTGCACTGGTTTGTTTATTTACAAAGGAGGGAACTTTTAAATTTTAAAACAATTTTGGCCGAAGTTTTAGCTTAGTTCATAAACATTGTAAGATGAGGATAGGATGATCTCCTATTAAACAATTTCAAAAGATATTGTTTTATTTTCTTTTGAATTTGAGTAATACTATTTGTATAAAACTGTTTGCACAAACTTTTCATATAACCTTATGTGTTACAACTTTTTAAATGACACATCATTCATCCAATTTGTTAAACATTTAATGAGTTAACTTTTTATGTGCATTCATCCATTCATTTTATGACACATAAAATTGTATGAAAGAGTTTGTATAAATAGTATTATTCTACTCAAATTGAACAATATTGCCACATATTCCATGAAGGCACCCCAGTCTGAAAGGAGCGATAAGAAATATTGCCTTTAACTCTAAAACTTAACACATTATAGTTTGTTGCTGCAGATGATAGGTATAAGCTGTAAATATAGAAAACTAGGAAAAACATGTAAAGATGAGTACCGAAGAACTTGATCGCCATGTTTTTGCTGAATACGACTATAGGAGAGAAATATATTAAGATCAATATTGGTTAAAAAAAATGATGGTGTTTAATTAGATAGGAAATTAAGAATTTGAAGAAAGCTATGATGATTTGATGAGAGGAAGTCAAAAAGGTAGTGGTATTTATACAAAAACACAGAGGGAAAGATACATATGGTTTAGATTAGATAGAACGAATGGTGTAAAATTTAAGGAATCTAAATGAAACTCGAAGAAAAGAGCGCCGAAACAACTAGCTCTCTCTTACATGTATCAGATTTCGTAAGTCTTAATTAAATCCATAGTCCCCCGTCCTTTATGTACGTGTACCGTAGTAATAATAATTAGTTAATAATTTGTAAGTAATGTACAGGAAAATTATATTCTAGAATATTAAACATCATAATTAATTGAAGAACATGACTGCGGCCATTTTTGCTGAAATTAAATAAAAAGGCAAAAAGCGCAAGAGATATGATGATAGATGTAGACGCTAAAATCTACAGTTACGGAATGAAAGACGAATCTTGTGAGGTTAAGGTCACTGGTGATCTGCTAAATCTGCACACACAAAGAAACCAACGTGAAGCAAACGAGAAACATCGAGGTCGTCTTTGCCGTAGGAACTCTAACGCCCAAGTCAACAAGGATAATAAAGGCTTTTTAAGTGAGGGTAAGGGAAGGAAAAGATTACCAGTAGCTTAGTAGGGAACTAAGACCACGGAGACAAAGTATAGCTCTCAAGAGTGAGAACTAAGGGGTTAGAAGGTGTAATGTTGAATGTCTAAACAATGGAGTGACCTTTGTTTGTATAGTAGTTGTGGGATATTCGTATCCCAGTAGGATTCTGAATCCATATAGGACTATAGGAGGAGGTCTAGTGAATAAGGAAAACCCTGATTCACTTGCCTCATTAGTAGCAGGAGTCCTAATTCACCCAAGATACAAAATCTTTGGCGGATTAGGATGGAACGGAATAAGAAGAATCATACTTGCCTTATTTCTGAGGCCTGGCCTTGGGTGGGTTGTTGACGAAGCCCATTATGGAAGAATGCTGGATTTGGGCCAAGTCATGGACTTTGGTGCTGGCCCGACTAGAGTTAGATTGTGTCCTTGGGCCTTTGTAGTAGAAAATGCACGCATGGGCCTGACAGGGGCCCAAGTAATTTTAGACCCCCACGATTAGCCCCCCACTCTCTAAGCTAAAAAATATTTAGCTTGGAGAATAGATAGTCTGGTAAGAGGTTAATTGTGTTAAGCGATGGTCTGCCAAGACGAGTGAGTACTCTCTTGACTGAGTGGAGATGTGGCATCTTGATAAGGTATGTGAAATGCTGTCGATGATTGTACACTCACACCTTCATGCAATTGACTCCATTCGGCTAACCAAGCTCAGTGATTTTCTTCACTCCATTCGGCTGGTACGACTAAGCATTTGTATAGACTGGACATAAGATATTTTGTTACCTTTTGTACTGAGACAAGGTCAGCTTGTCTAGTCGAGTTGAGTGTTTCTTGAGTGATTTGGTGGCGCTTTTGTAACCAAACACATGTACTATAGGGTTTCACAGAGTTTGAGTGGGAGAAGGCAGATCGTGGATCTCGAAGTGATTCTATCACATGACATATGTACGATAGAGATCAACTTCTATTTTGCACGGGAATGCAAAAGGTCGCGCCTAATCGCCAGGTGCCCTATGGCGTCTCTGACAAGATGGACGTGCAAACGAAGGATAAATCCTTCAGGCGACTCTTTGTTTTTCATTTCATCATGGCGTTTGAATTTCTGCACCTCACTTGAAATTTTTTTTACTTCAACGGCGATCCAGGCGAGCTTTACTTCTGTTCACGGTAAAATCTTCGTTCCTCTACAAATCTCGATTTCTTTTTCTTGTTTTCTGTTTTCTTGGGGCACTTTTGGAGTGTTTGGGCTAGTTTTTTGGAGGATTTTCGAAGAGGTTTGGAGTTTTTGTATTTTTTCTTGGTTTCTCTATTTTTCTTGTCAAGAACAAAGTTTGAGTATCTCTCTGAGTGTGAAAAGTAGGAGGTGTGTGTTTTAGAAGTTTTTTTGGGTTTACTTTTGGCAAATCTGGTACAGTTTGGTGAAATCAGTGTTTTTGGTGTTTTCTAGGATTTTTGGGTTTTTTCGGCTACATCAAGGAAAGAAGACGGAATCGACATACTTAGGGTGACCATTCGGCTCGTCTCGGCACCATTGTCAAAGCTAAGTGTAGCGTCAAGTTTGGTGTGAGAGTTAATTTCAAGTTAAACTACCTTTAACCATCTGGTCAGTTTGTAAGACCGAGTCGGACATAAAGGATTATTATAGTACAATGTCACACTCCGAGTCGAGTGAAGAAACATGGAGACAAACATGAGGGGCGAGTACAAGCGTGCTCCTACCATGGTAGTAATGCTAGAGGAAGGCAATGTCCTAGTAGGATTCCTAGGGGGCTGAACGTAGCCATCTTCGAGTTGGGTGGTGCTACCGAGTTGAGTAGCAACAATTCGGAGAGGCAAGGGACAAGTGAGGAAGAGACGGAGGATGAGTTAGAAAGCTCCGAAAGCAATGCTTCAACTAGTAGCGGCTTGGTAGAGGAGCCTAGCCAACTAAGTAGTGGAATCTTGGGCTCCGACTTTCCGTCTTTACTTAAGGAGAATGATCAATGGTGGATTCGGATGTAGTACTACATCCCCAATTCAGTAGAGATCCGAATCCCAAAGAGCTATGAATGGGTCAACTTGGAGGCAAAGGGATGGGTGAGCGTGTATGAGATATGGTTTCATGATGGTTTGTGCCTCCTCATACCTTGGCTCGTCTAGGAAGTGTTGAACCATTTTATGATTGTACCAACATAGATTATACTGAATGGGTGGAGGCTATTGTTGTGCTTGGAGGTGTTGTGTACCCAGAACTGAGTCATGTTCGGTCTGCATGAATTTTTGTACTCCTACTATCTAAAGAAGCATGACTGAGAGAAGGGTAGATACTCCATCACCCTTAGGCACGATCGACTCCACTTGGTAACAAACCTAAGGTCGAGCGACAAGAATTGAAAGGAGCGATTCTTCTTCTTGAAGGGTGAGACTATATTTGGCGAAAGAGGCTAGGGAGAGATATTGTACACATGGAGAGCCACGGCTGAGAGACTGATTCTTGCTTATACTTGTGATTACTAAGTCTTATTCTCCATTTCTTTTGTAGATCCCGGCTTCAACCGAGCCAGATAGAGTGGAGACAATCTCGACATGATGATGAGAGTAGCCATTGCCATTCCGAAAGAACAGGGAGATTGGAGAGCAATCCTAAAAGAGTCCAACTTAAGGATGAGTCATTTGTGGGCCGGAGTGGAAGTTGTTCAATGAGGTATCCCATTCCCCTCATCAAAGCAACTATGGCACGTGCTACTAATTCGCTACAACAATCAGATATTATTCGAGCATTCGTTTCTTCATCCACTAACATCTAAGAGATTTGTCATTACAGAGAAGTTGATGAGGAATTTAAAGGTAGATATACCAAATGCAAGTGATGTGGCCATGCGGCGCAAAGCCAAGAGGAAGAGGGAGTCAACCCCAAAGGAGGTTCATGTTCAGGAAACCGAGTCAACTCTTATTATCGATCAGTCGTTGACTAGGGTCGGGTCATCTAAGGAAGTTCTTTTTGATGAGGATGAGAAGGTGACTATCACTCTTCCTAACTCAGCATCGATCTAATCTGATGCAATTGGGATGAGCAATCTAGCTAAATCGTTTTTGCTAGCTGCTGATGAGACCTGACTGAATCAAATGGGGACGACTGCCGTAGCCGAGTGGGCAGTGACTCTGCAACTTTAAGTCCTCTCTAACTTCTAACCTTTTTGCCA